CAGAGGTAGAGATGGAGCAGCAGACAAGAGAGTATAGTATAAGGTAGCAGTGGACAAAGAGAGTATAGTATAAGGTAGCAGTGGGCAAAGAGAATACAGAGTATGGTAGCAGCGGATAAAGAGAATACAGATAGAGTAGCAGTGGACGGAGCAAGTACAGTATAGGATAGCTGCGGAGTAACGGACCTTGGTGGAGGAAGCTACGTCGGAGTGGGACGGCAAAAAGAACAAAGAGCGACCGAGCTGGAGAGAGAGAGAGAGCAGAGAGGAGGGTCGCTGGAGGAGAGGAGCAGAGGGAGAGCGAGCGAAGCCAGTGGAGCGAGCGAACGGAGGGACATTGAGTGATGTTGATGGGGAGTTGTGAGTTGAAGAGTACGGAGGGACATCAAGTGATGCCGACGGAGATCTTAACTATATGCGTTAATAAAGAACCGAGAAAGACAAAGAAGCTGTCGTGTCAGTACGAGTCCTACATATGTATACAATAGCGCACTTCTCTCAGTTGATTAATCTCATCCAGTGCCTTTTTGCTGCACACATTGCTTCCTGTATGCTTGGTGCATTCCAATTCTTCCAGTTTCAATCCATCTAGTCATCGCACTCTGCTCAATGCAACAAACGCCTGACCCCAGCAGTAAACACCTTGGAACCTACATTGACAACGGCATAGTTTACGGTGGATCCCTGAATTTTGTGCACCGTTGAAGCCCAACAAAGGATGAGTGGTAACATGCGTCTTTCTGCAGTTCCAAATGAATAGTTGGCAGGGAACTGGACAGACATCGGCTCAATCTGGTGATCTCCAATCTCTCCAAAACATGTCTTTACCGATGGAATGTCCTCTGCATACAATTAAGCTCCCCGGAAAATAGGCCTGATGATTTCAGGAATCTGTCCCATTACTCGATTGACTCGTTATTTTCCAACATCGATATTGTAACGAAGCATCACCTTGTCAATCCAGACAATAACAATCGCTCGTCATTGTCTAGATGATTTTCATATATTTGAAATTGTGCAATACAAAATTAAGAAAAAAACACAAGAAGCACCGGATCGTCAGGACCTGGAACGGTTATTTAAATTAAATCTTAAATTGGCATGTGAGACGACGAGTCTGTGTACAAAATTTCAGATCGTTAGGTTTCGTAGATCCGAAGATTTGAAAGAATATAAGCAGACAACAGGGTCAGTTCAATAAAAGTGTGTAATAATAAAAAATAACATTGTTCCTTGTAATTTATTTATTGTAGTCATTACTATTAAATACTTAACATTCTCCCCCTGTTCTTGGTTCTTTCGGTAAAGTCACGTAGAAGGGAAGTAATAAAATAATAAAAATAAAACATAATAAAACAATTCTCACGACGTTTCGGCCACAACGCAAGCAGCCGTCCTCAGGTGAAAACCAGGTCCGTCGAGGCGACAGAGTCTGAATGAAACAGCACACGGGCTTAGAGCAGATATATAAGCTGGGCGCATTGACAAAGGAATTTGCATATCAACCGGAATTTAGCATATTTATGGGAAATGCAGGAATGTAATTAGTACTGCATATGCATGTGCATTATGCAGGATTAACAGCATCAAAGGGAGCTGCAGTTACTGCTGCTGTAGAAGTTGCTGCTGCTGCTGCAGTTTCTGCTGCTGCTGCAGTTACTGCTGCTGCTGCAGTTGCTGCTGCTGCTGCACTTGCTGCTGCTGCTGCACTTGCTGCTGCTGCTGCTGCTGCACTTGCTGCTGCTGCTGCACTTGCTGCTGCTGCTGCAGTTGCTGCCTTATCCATTTTAATATAACACTATGTATTATTCTACCCACCCTAATGTGTATCATACTGCTATATGTTTACTGTACAATTACGACACCATACATTACTCTGCACACTGCACCATGCCAGTGAGTGGAACGCGGTCTGAAAGTCACCGTTAACGTGAACACAATCAGTTAAGATCCGAAATGGTTTATTACGTCCTTCCAATGATTGCTAAGCCAGAATCCATCTTCTCGGTTGAAATTGTCTCTGTGTTTGTATATGTGGATCGCCTCATGAACGAATCTCTCATGATAGCCAGATGGCTTGCAGAGAACCTCTGTCTTGGAGAAGTCAATGTCATGTGAGCCCACTGAATTGTAACAGTGATCTGCCACGGCTGAGGTGTTTGTCCTACCGTGTTTCAGGTCTGCCTTATGTTCACGGATGCGGTCCGAGACATGTCGTTTGGTTTCTCCAATGTAACTGCTACCACAGAGGCAACTTAGTTTGTAGACGCCAGGGTACTGTATGTCTGGAACCACATCTTTTACAGACGGGACCAGATCACGGATTTTATGTACTGTGTTGAATCGGACCTGGATCTTGTGTTTAATCAGGATTTTGGAGATCTTTTTTGTGACCCCAGCAATGTAGGGTAAGGTGATGGTCTTGAAAGGCTCCTCAACAGGATCCTTCTTGATGGTTGGAGTGATGGCTTTGCGGATTGTGTAGTCGGAGTAACCATTAGCCTTAAGAGCTTGGCGTACGTGTTTGAGTTCACTGGAAATGTGTTCATGGTCGGAGATGCATTGCGCTCTATGATATAGAGTCTTGATGAGGGAATTCTTCTGGGATGGATGGTGGTGGGAATCCGGTTTTAGATAAGCATCCGTGTGGGTGGCTTTCCTGTAGACAGAGTGGCTCATTGAGCCATCAGGTCTCCTTTTGATTAGGACATCCAAAAATGGTAGCTTGCCATCATTTTCGACTTCCATGGTGAATCTGATGGCTGGGTGTATGGAATTGATGTGGTCGAGAAATTGGTCTAGAGCAGGCCGGCCATGTGGCCAGATGACAAAAGTGTCGTCTACGTACCTCTTCCATAAGGTCGGGCGTAGAGTGGCAGTCTGGATGGCGTCCGTCTCAAATTTCTCCATGAAATTTCTCCATTGAGACGGACGCCATCCAGACTGCCACTCTACGCCCGACCTTATGGAAGAGGTACGTAGACGACACTTTTGTCATCTGGCCACATGGCCGGCCTGCTCTAGACCAATTTCTCGACCACATCAATTCCATACACCCAGCCATCAGATTCACCATGGAAGTCGAAAATGATGGCAAGCTACCCTTTTTGGATGTCCTAATCAAAAGGAGACCTGATGGCTCAATGAGCCACTCTGTCTACAGGAAAGCCACCCACACGGATGCTTATCTAAAACCGGATTCCCACCACCATCCATCCCAGAAGAATTCCCTCATCAAGACTCTATATCATAGAGCGCAATGCATCTCCGACCATGAACACATTTCCAGTGAACTCAAACACGTACGCCAAGCTCTTAAGGCTAATGGTTACTCCGACTACACAATCCGCAAAGCCATCACTCCAACCATCAAGAAGGATCCTGTTGAGGAGCTTTCAAGACCATCACCTTACCCTACATTGCTGGGGTCACAAAAAAGATCTCCAAAATCCTGATTAAACACAAGATCCAGGTCCGATTCAACACAGTACATAAAATCCGTGATCTGGTCCCGTCTGTAAAAGATGTGGTTCCAGACATACAGTACCCTGGCGTCTACAAACTAAGTTGCCTCTGTGGTAGCAGTTACATTGGAGAAACCAAACGACATGTCTCGGACCGCATCCGTGAACATAAGGCAGACCTGAAACACGGTAGGACAAACACCTCAGCCGTGGCAGATCACTGTTACAATTCAGTGGGCTCACATGACATTGACTTCTCCAAGACAGAGGTTCTCTGCAAGCCATCTGGCTATCATGAGAGATTCGTTCATGAGGCGATCCACATATACAAACACAGAGACAATTTCAACCGAGAAGATGGATTCTGGCTTAGCAATCATTGGAAGGACGTAATAAACCATTTCGGATCTTAACTGATTGTGTTCACGTTAACGGTGACTTTCAGACCGCGTTCCACTCACTGGCATGGTGCAGTGTGCAGAGTAATGTATGGTGTCGTAATTGTACAGTAAACATATAGCAGTATGATACACATTAGGGTGGGTAGAATAATACATAGTGTTATATTAAAATGGATAAGGCAGCAACTGCAGCAGCAGCAGCAAGTGCAGCAGCAGCAGCAAGTGCAGCAGCAGCAGCAAGTGCAGCAGCAGCAGCAAGTGCAGCAGCAGCAGCAACTGCAGCAGCAGCAGAAACTGCAGCAGCAGCAGCAACTTCTACAGCAGCAGTAACTGCAGCTCCCTTTGATGCTGTTAATCCTGCATAATGCACATGCATATGCAGTACTAATTACATTCCTGCATTTCCCATAAATATGCTAAATTCCGGTTGATATGCAAATTCCTTTGTCAATGCGCCCAGCTTATATATATGCTCTAAGCCCGTGTGCTGTTTCATTCAGACTCTGTCGCCTCGACGGACCTGGTTTTCACCTGAGGACGGCTGCTTGCGTTGTGGCCGAAACGTCGTGAGAATTGTTTTATTATGTTTTATTTTTATTATTTTATTACTTCCCTTCTACGTGACTTTACCGAAAGAACCAAGAAGATGAATCCCTGCAGTCACGAAAGCTTTAAATCGAAAAATTCTCCCCCTGTTCACTCGTACCAGAAACGTGTAACCTCAATTTCCCATTGAGCAAGATTTTTCTGATTAATTTGTACATCAGTGAAAAGGCAATATTTTACCAATTTTGGCATTTGGTAGAAACATCTCTAAAGGAGAGATGGTTACGTGACAAGCTTTGCTAATTGGCTGTGTCGGCTGGTGCCGGGTTGAACGACATTTATATTTACGTGATCTAACCCAAAAAACCTTAATTATGGATATCTAAAGGATTTGACCGTATGTGGTGGGTGGACTGTTGGACACTCCCAAGTGTCCCATGATCCTACTACCACAGGCCCTCTAATGTCCCAAGTGGCCCATGACCCTACTACCAGAGGTCCTCTAACGTCCCATGTAACCCATGACCCTACTACCACAGGAACGTCTCAAGTGACCCATGACCATACTACCACAGGCCCTCTCACGTACCTTGCTCAGGGCCCCTGCGTACACGGCCAGACGCCCAGGACCCGGCACAGCCCCAGTCTTGCCCAGCGTCTGCAGTTCGGCCGATATCTCCTCGCGCAGCCTCCGCACGAACGCGCCGTCCCACTCCAACTCCGTCGCCTCAGACATGATGGCGCCGCCTCTGCTCTGCGTCAACTGAATGCACTGCGGGAGGTTGTGCGGGATGCGGGGCCAAAATACTCGAGGTTTGAGGCGAGGGTCCTAGATGGACAGCAGCAGCAACCAGGGTTATAAAGAACCGGAATGTAGGAGTCGCATAAAATAAATGATGTAGAGATGCTTGATTAATGGCAATCTTGGGTGATGAATGTTGCAGGATCTCTGAGAGGTATTGTGATAGAAATGGTTTGAGAAAGGTCTAACGGCAATCCGGAATAATGGAGATACAAGGTGGCATAGCTTGACGAGACACGCGATGATTTGAATGGCGACGGTTGTGGGTATGAGAGGATTGAGGAAGACCTGTAAGAGGTCCAGAATAATTCAAGTTCAGGATGGTCCTGGAAGACGGAAGTCAGATGATAATTAATGGACATTTGAGATAGACCTTAGTAGGTATTTCGAGTGGTACTCAAAAAGTCCAAGAGGTTTTGAGGAGCTGCTGGACGTCCTGGAGCTTGCTACATTAGGTGCTGGATGACGGAGGATGTATTTGTAGCCACGTGAAGTCCTGGGCGATAGGCGCGAAATGATCCTCTTTAAAAGATGCACTACCTATGAAGAACATCCAAAATTCTTTATTTTACTCTGAGAGATCGGACTGACCGGGAGAGAAATCCCTGACTCGTCGCCAGCGTAGTCGCCTAGGGAACAGCGAGCGATATCCGGCAACACGGCGCGCGTTGACGTCATGTCACGAGCAATGACGCCATGTCCGCCGTATAATGTCATGTCGCGCGCGATGACGTCATGTCGCGCGCGATGACGTTTTCATGGGACCTTTTTTTCCCAGAAGCAAGATTTTCAAACACCAAATAGATAACTTTATTCATAGAATTGCGTCCGCATTAACCACACGTACTGGTTGTGGTGAACAGGCAAATAAACATGCTTTGACAACATATACGTTGTGTTGTGTGCATTGAAAAATTATAATATTCCGATTGATGCTCCTGCTGTTGTGGAGTGACTCATGCAGCCAGCTATGGCTGCAGGGTTTTGGTATACGACGTTTCGATTGCAACACAAGCAATCATCATCAGGTATAAATGAAATAGCAACAAAAAATCTAACCAGAAAACTATAGACAGACATATAAGCAGACAGATATCACCAAGATACATAGAGAGCAGCAGCAGCTGCAGCAGCAGCTGCAGCAACAACAGCAGCAGCTGCAGCAACAACAGCAGCAGCTGCAGCAACAACAGCAGCAGCTGCAGCAACAACAGCAGCAGCTGCAACAACAACAGCAGCTGCAACAACAACAGCAGCTGCAACAACAACAGCAGCAAGATGGCGGCGGCGTGTGCGGCCGCGTGTGCGTTGTGCTGCATGGGTGTGGGCTGTGCATGAGAGTGGGTGAGGGTGAGCTGCGTGTGAGTGAGCTGTGTGTGTGTTTAAATTTAGTGTTTTAAAGATGTCAATTCACCTGCTGTATATCTTACTACTGTCCCTCCCGGCCATATCTAGTGCCACACTCAACTCTACAAACGGCTACCCGCGTTACTTCGCGTCAATACTTATTGCTAAATTTGCAACTACACCTGCTAATGAAACAACTTATAGACACTTCTACACTCCATCATTATATCCTTTTAAACCCTATCTTTGTCCCATTACTTCACCAGCACTCCTTCCAAACTTCATTCTGCTCTTAAAAATAACACCATCTGCGAGCTGCTGCTATTCGTCCAAGGTTCGTCGCTCTTCATCCTTTCACAGAAAATACCTGTGCAAACTATTAATTCTACTTTTCTTATTTCTGGGTGGTATTGAGCTTCATCCTGGACCAAATATAAAGAACTCATATAATTCTGTAGATTTTTCTGGCAGAAAAGGTGTTGGTGTTCTACATGTCAACATCAGAGGGCTTTTGATTAAATTAAGTCAACTAAAACTAGAAGTAGCAAATCTTGACCCGGACATATTTTGCCTAACAGAAACATTTCTCACTCCTGCCGTCAATGACTTGCAGATTACGATTGACAACTACAATCTTTTTCGGCTTGACCGAGGATCTAAAGGAGGTGGAATTGCCATCTATGTTCGTAATACTATTGCATGTTCACCAGCTCACTCCTTGTTTAAAAAATGTTGCTTTGAAGGTCTGGCTCTCAGAATAACTCTCCCTAATAATCAACACATATTGGTAGTGTGCTGCTATAGACCGCCTAGTGGGAAGGATGTTGAAGCTGCATCTGCACTGAGAGAGCTTCTTGGGGGCCTCCCTAAAGGTGAAATAGTTTTAGTGGGTGATCTAAATTGGAATTGGCTAAACCCGCCGACCGTGGCCACAAATTTTGCAGATGAATTTAACCTGTTTCAATTAATAAATGTCCCCACAAGACCCAACCTAAAAAATCCGGGACAGTCATCTCTGCTTGACGTCCTATTGACAAATGCCCCTCACAATTTCGCACTGGCTGGTGTTCTAGGTAATAACCTTAGTGATCATTCCTTCATTTTTGGGGTGAGATCATCAGCCAGACCCAAAGCCCCCCCCTAAATTGGTTGAGAAGCACTCCATGAGACACTTCAGCACTCAGGCATTTACTAATGATGTGCTTCACTCGGATATTGACAAGGTCTGTGATATTCCAAACCTGACTACGGCTTGGGAGACCTTCAGGTACACGTTTCTCCAAATTCTTAACAAACATGCTCCGTTGGTTAAATTTAAAACTAAAGGCAACCGTCCACCATGGTTTGATCCTTTGATTACAAAGCTCATGAAAACTAGGGACAAGGCTTGGGCATGTGCTCAGAAAAGTAATTTGGTCAATGACTGGCTAGAATACAGGATTTTAAGGAATAGATGCGTCAAAAAAATACGGCATGCAAAAAATAACTACTCTTCCACTCTCCTTGAATCACATGGAAATGCCAGGATTTTCTGGAAAACAATCAAATGTATCGAAAAGGCATCCAAAACAGATCATCTGCCCGTTCAGCTTAACCGAAATGGGGAATATTTTTCAGATCCCCAAAAAATAGTTGACAATTTTAACCTTCATTTTTCTGAAGCTGGTACCCTATTTGATAATGTATTGGGAGTCACCCCTGCTCATGCAAATTCCTACACCCCTATCCAAACATTAAGCGAATTTAGTTTTCAGCCAATCCACGAAAGTAATGTTCTGAAACAACTGTCCTACCTCAAAGGGTCCTCCTCTACCGGAGCAGATAGTATTCCCGTCTTTGCTCTACTAAGTGTTGGTCACCTAATATACAAACCTATAGCCCATATTTTCAACCTGTCCATCAAAGAAGCATCAGTTCCTCTAGAATGGAAACATTCCTATGTTCGTCCACTTCACAAAGGGGGCCCTAAAGATGATCCAAATAACTACCGACCTATCTCAATTTTGTCCCCGTTGATGAAAATTTTTGAAAAATTATTGACCTACCAAATTAGCAGTTTCCTGTCCGCCAACAATCTATTACATCTAAAACAATCTGGGTTCCGAAAAAAATACAGCACCACATCTGCTGCATTAGACTCTCTGAATCACATTTACAGTAGCCTTGATAATAAGCAGTACTGCGCCTGTCTTTTTCTTGACTTGTCCAAAGCTTTTGATACAGTAGATCACAACATCCTGCTTAGTAAAATAAGTTGCCTCGGTTTTTCTGAAAACACAGTAAAATGGTTAAAAAATTACCTCTTTTCTCGCACCCAAACTGTACTCACAGAGGGTTGGAGGTCAAACAGTGTTAAGATAACAAAAGGGGTTCCACAGGGTTCCATTCTCGGCCCCCTCTTGTTCTCTCTTTATGTAAATGACTTGGGCACTGAACTGGATTATTCCAGGGTAAATCTTTTTGCAGATGACACGGTACTAATTACTGCTGGCCGCTCTCCGGATGACGTAATTGATAAGCTCCAGAGTGATTTCAACAAACTACAACATCAGCTAGTTGCTCTTAAACTAGTCCTAAATCCTACCAAAACCAAGGTGCTATGCTTCTCACCAGGACTAAAGCGGGAAGTTATTTTTCCCCAATTACATACCTTAAATAATGATCAAATAGAGCAAGTCAAGATCTATAAGTATCTTGGGGTCATCCTGGATTCAAAACTGAATTTTGAAGATCACATTGATTATATTGGGAAAAAAACAAAAATTAAAATTGGTTTTCTATATCGACACAAGCACTGCTTCCCCCCTATGTTCCGTTTGGAATTGATTAAAGCTACCATACTGCCTCTACTTGATTACTGTGACATTGTGTATAAATCAGCCCCAAGTACTGTACTGAAGAAGCTTGACTCAATGTATCACTCGGCCTTAAGATTTGCATTGAACTGCCCATATAGGACTCACCACTGTGATCTCTACATTGGGTCAAACTTAACATCTCTGAATGTTCGACGGCTTGTGCACCAGATCTTATTTATTCATGATGTACTTGCAAAAAAATCTGCGAATTACCTGCTGGATCTCGTCTCTGTTTCAAAGAACAAATTTGACCTAAGGTCTACACTCATTTACCAGCTTAATATTCCCTATTGCCGTACATATACTGGAGGAAGGGCCTTTGCTATTGATGCCCCCAGGGTCTGGAATGCTGTTGCAAATAAACTGAAACTTGAGTCACTACCTATGAGATCTTCACTCAAAACTGCTCTAGAGGAGTTGTACACCCCTAGCTGCCAGTGCTATTCAGTGACCTGAAATAAAATGTTTCGCTCCGGATGATCGCTACAAAGTATGACCTGTGTTTTGATTTAGTGTGCTAATCTTAAAGGTGCATTGAAAAATTACAATACTCCGATTGATGATCCTGCTGTTGTGGAGTGACTCGTGCAGCCAGCTATGGCTGCAGGGTTTTGGTAGTACATGTTGTTTATGCCATTTATTGTGAAAATTCCGTCACAGTTCCTATGATTGCTTTTTCATTGCTTTCATGGCTTTATTTTGGTGATTTCGAAAAGTGTATTGGTTTAGCCATGTTTGTTTGTTGTAGTATAGAGTTAGACTGATGGTCTAAGTTGTCTTGTGGTTGTTGTTGTTGTTTGACTTGCATCCCACTGGGATTTTTGCACACAGCGTTGGTGTACGGTGTTTTTTTCTGCAATAATTTTTGCTGTCTTTTCTTGGATTTTCTGTTTGCACTTAGTCACATAGTCACTTTAAGATGTTTTTTGTTCATGTTTTTGTTTTTTGTTTGTTGCTGTTGCACCCGATTCAAGAGCTGAATGGCTCACAGGGCTATACCTAATAAATGAACTTGAACTTGAAGAGCAGGGGCGGTTTCTTCATTAGGGCGATTGGGCGACGCACCACCAATGTCATTGAACCACAGAGTCACGCTAGCCGTCACTGTCAGCCTCTGGATATAGTCCAATCAGCGTCATGTCACGTTCTGTGGAGTACCGCCTCTTTTTGGGCGATTTCACTCCGGCTGAGAATCGCCCCGAGTGGCCCCATAGACTTACATTGAAAGATGTTTTTTTCGAACGGCGGGCGCTCCAATGCATTCTCTATGGCTTCCGGGAGGGCTCGCCCTAACGTGCTTACGTCATCATACGTGCTAACGTCATCATACGTAAGCACGTTTCATCCAACAATATAATTTATCGCCACCTAGTGGAATCTTCTTCTTGGTTCTTTCGGTAAAGTCACGTAGAAGGGAAGTAATAAAATAATAAAA